TTATCCATTAATCACCTGGTGGGCACGTAGGTTGTTCCCATTTCTTGACTATTGTAAAAAGTGTTGCAATGAACATGGAAGTACAGATGTCTCTATTATTTCATTTCCTTTAGATATATATTCCATAGTGAAAATGCTAGAGCATATGGCGGTTTTATTTTTACTTAGTGAAAGAACTTCCAATACTATGTTCCATAATGGTTGTGCTAACTTACATTCCCATCAATAGTGTAAATTCCCTGTTTTCTACATCTTCACCAGCACTTGTTATCTTCTGTCTTTTTGATAATAGCCATTCTACTGGAGAAGGGTAATATCTCATTACAGTTTTGATCTGCATTCCCCTGATGATGAGTAATACTGAGCATTTTCTCATGTATTTATTATCCACTTGTGTGCCTTCTTTTGAGACATGTCTGTTGTTCATTCTTAGATCATGTTATTTGTGTTTTTTTGTTAACTGTTTTATTTTTGCTAATGAGTTTGGGGGGGGTTCCTTATATATTCTTATGTTCTAAATATTAATCTCTTATCATAAATATAGTTTGCTAACATTTTCTCTCATTCTGTACATTGCTCCTTTGCTCAGATAATTATTTCTATTGTTGTGTGAAAGTTTTTTAGTTTAATGTAATCCGACTCATTTTCTGTGCTTTGGGGATCTCTTCCAAAAATTCCTAACCCATTCAAATGATCTCAAGTATTCTCCCTATAATTGCACAGTTTCAGGACTAATATTTAAGTCTTTGGTCCATATTTAGTTGCATTTTATAACTAGTGATAATAGCACTCTAGTTCCATTCTTGTATATGTGGATACCCAATTATTCCAGCACCATTTACTGAAAAAAATGCATGTTCTTAAACATCTTTGTCAAAAATCAGTTGGCTATAGATCTGTGAGTTAGCCTCTAGGATCTTTATTCTGTTCCACTGGTCTATGTGTCAGTTTTTACACAAATACCATACTGTTTGATTACTACAGCTTTGTAGTATATTTTGGAGTCACGTTGTGTAATCTCTCCTGCTCTGTTCTTTTTGCTCAAAATGACTTCAGCTATTCAGCGTCTTTTGGTTCCATCCAAATGTCAGGATTGCATTTTTTAGTTCTGTGAAGAATGTCCCTTGTATTTTGATTGGGATTGTCTTGGATAGCATGGAGATTTTAAGAATATTGGTTTCTGCAGACCATGAACATGAGATGTTTCTATTTTTGTGTGTGACCTCTTCAATTTCTTCCATTAATATTTTAGCTGGGAAGGAGTGGTGGCTGTAATCCCAGCAGCTCAGGAGACTGAGATAGGAGGATCGACAGTTCAAAGCCAGCCTCAGCAACAGTGAGGGGCAACTCAGTGTGACCCTGTCTCTAAATAAAATACTAAAAATGGCTGGGGATGTGGCTCAGTTGTTGAGTGCCACTGAGTTCAATCCTCAGTACCCCCCCCCCCGCAAAAAACACCATATTTTATAGGCACAGTTGCTTTGATGCATAAATGAAGTAAATAATTACAATGTTCCTAGAATATATATAATAGGCCCTTACTTACCTTCAACCTAACACCCTCCTCCCATTTTCCTTTTTAACTCTACAATAAGAAAAGCTATTTGTCCCCAGTGCCCCTCCATAAATATAACTATTTCCTTTTGTGTGTTGCTTCTCGTAGCTGCCAGTGCTTTTTAACCTCTTCTTCTTACATAAGGCTCATCCATTGCTCAAGGCACAGTTTAAGAGGTATCTTCTTTGACAAATCTTCTGAACTAACAACCCTACTTTAAGAACTTCTTCCTTCCTTCATTATCTAAATTACTTGTACTTTTACAGCATATATTTGCTTATACCTTCTTTTAAAGCTTTGTAACTACAATTACTTCCTAATTGCTTTGAATGCTTTTGTTTTCTTCCCTAACTAGAAAGTAAGCTATTAACAGACTCTATTATAAATTCCCCAAGGTCAGTGATATTGTTTAGTTTTGTTTACTAACAGATGACAGGTACATAAAACAATGCCAGAAATGTAGAAGTGCTCAAAATGTACTTACTAAATAAAAAGAAGTTATTTCTCCTTCCATTCATGAATTGCTCTAAAATTCCAAATATAATCCCAAATATACACATATATAAACTAAATGTTTTTTGAGTAAATGAAAATTCTTATGCCTGAAATTTTAAAAATTCAAAAAATTAATAGAACCAAAGCAGATTAATCAACTCAGTTTCTAAGGAATGATACTTAACTTGTTCAAGATGAGAACATTTAAAAGAATCATTGTTATAATTTTCAATAGTCAAACTAATGACAATTATATAGGGCTAGGAACACAAAAAGGGGCATATTTGGAGTTATGGAGGGTCATTTGGGGACAAGTAATTTTTCTTATTGTAGAGTTATAAGGAAAGCGGGAGGGGCATGTTACATTGAAAATAAGTAACCTTTGTTGAGGCCTATAATATATATTCTAGGTATGCTATAGAACTACTTAGAAAATTCTTAAGTAAGTGAATTATGTGTAGGAAGCTTATATTGTGGAATGAATGGATTTTGGAGACTGGGATATGAATCCTAGCTCTCCTATTTCTTAGCTGGTTAACCATAAGCAAAATGTGTAACTTATAAGATGATCATTATTATTTCTCCCTTGCAGTTATCGTATAGATTTTAAAAGATAATGTACCCACTCCTTCACTCAATACCTTAAAACTTCCTATGATGAACTATAACTTTTATGGTTTCAAAGTCCTTCAAAAACTATCTTTTTATTTTCAAAGATGAGGAAAATGTTTTCTAGTCTCAAAAATTCTTTAACAACTAGTCAGAAATGCTCAATATGCAGATAAAAAGCAATGTTAAAGACAGAACACAGAGAAGGATACACGTACAAAGCTCTTTATAATCATTCAGATAACAAATTTATTCAAAGCTGAATATACCAATGTTTATTCCCCCTAGCTAGTATTAGTAATATGAAATTACCTACTAATACTAGCTTAACAAATATTATCTTACAATACTGGGAAAGCACAGTAGCAACCCAAAGACATATAAACTCATTATACTATTCTCCTCCCTTAGCATATTAAGTATTTTCCAATATGATAAATATAGTGATTTCTGTTTCAGTTTTATATAACATATTAAATTGTTAAGCTTTAAGTTTATCTCCTCCTCTCATATGAATTCTCTATTTACTGGATGATAGAGTATAGCATATTCTAACTGGAACTGGAACACTAGTTACAGACTCAACCCAAACTTGAGTATGTTCACATTCTCCCAAATTCTTTGCTCACAATACAGGTTTATCAATGGAATTATTTTCCCCACCAGAGAGCATACTCCTATAAAGGCATAAATCATATCATCTATTCCATAGACCCTAGACCACCATTCCCAAAAACTTATGCCTCTTGTGTGTTTGTGTGTATTCAATGATATCTTTGTTCTGTTTTGTCTTAATTTTCTACTTCCCAAAGTCATATTATTAAATTAAAACTAATTAGTGGCCTACCCTAGTCACTGTACATTTAAAACTATATTATTTTATCAACCCTAAAATATTATACTTATTAGAAATCTTCCAATTTACAAGGTGTTAATATGTGAAATTTTGCAGATAGTGATAACACATTCAAGTTTCAGAGCGTTAAAACATGAGGAAAACTGCATACCTTACTCATTTTAGAAACTGAAGGTGAGCGAGAGCTTAAATACTTTTCCCAACATCAATACATGTATACCAGGTTGGTCACACGGAGCAACACCCAATAACAGGGGAAGAAATGGATCAAAACCCAATTACATTAACTATTTCCTCTCCATTCAACAAAATAAGGACATATCCAATATGATTATTTATAAAACTATATATATTTAATCCGCAAAGTTCTTACATATAACAGATGATGAGGTTCAAAAGTTCACTGAACATCATACAGCAGTTAATAAAATCAGAGATTCATTATCCGACATTCAGGCCAGACAAATACATCTGACCTTATTACCAGGATATTTTTTTTCCCTTGAAATAGTATCATACACTTTATTGAAAATAAGAAGGCATCAACTAAGTCTTTGTTAATGTACAAAATATAGTTAAAAATTATAACAAAGTGATTTGCCAATATAAAATTAAATACTTAAGGGAGTACTACTTTCCAAATGATGGCACATTTGTTGCTAATGAGCATATATGTTGACCAAATTAAAAATCATGTGGTAATACAATTATACTTAACTCCTTAGATAGTCACTCACTTTCACTATTAAGTATATAGGTTATTGAATAATAAATATTACATTAAGTAACAAAGAACTTAATTCCAAAGTAGAAAGCACTAAATTTTATCATTATGTATCCTCTAGCAGAATACAAAAGAACATTGCAACATAATATAATATTAAACCTCAACCTAAATATGTCTTAAGGAAGAAGCAAAAAAGAGAAAAGTGAGAAGCTGGTAATAATTTTGGAACAGAAATTTATTTCAGGTGGTAGAAATTTTTTTAAATAATTAACAGGGGCATTTAGAAAAGTCACATAAATAGAATTTACAGCTTAACTGAGCCTCACTAATAAAAAGAAGTAAATTTCTCTCTCACCTTTCTTCTCTCAGCCTATGATAAATGTCAACATTTCAAATCACTTTATCCTAAGAAATAAGTATCAGTTCTGTATAACATAAAATAGAAGGAATAACAAGGCAGACGATTATTTTCATTAAAAATAAATATTTGTATAAGTTATTTCCTAGAAAGTGTCATTTTCTTTTAAGAGTAAAAACAATCAGTAACCAAAATTAAGAGAATCAGGAATTTATTTTCAACCTAAGATCTAGTTCCAATAAACTGTGAACTAAAATAGATTCATGTATTAAGTACTGTTGATATTATACAAATGTTTCTCTATTTGTTACACAAAGCACCATAAAATTTACCATATTTTATATTCTAAAAATTTTAAACTTAATTAACTAATAATTATATATCAAAATTCTCATCTTACTTCTCCATTTCTTAATGTTGTGATGGCTCCTCTTGCCACACCCATTCTAAATAGTGTTTCTGTAGCCTGTGAATAGAAGAAAAAAAAAAAGCTAAAGTATATAATTTGTACACTACTGTATACTCACCCCAAAAAGGAAAAAAAACAATACTATTACATATTCAACAACTTGTATTAACACATTAGTAAGGAAAAATAAGAGACATCCTAAATTATATACCAGAAATATCATGTCTATGATCTTTTACTGTTAAAAGAACTTGAACTGCTTCAAAATGTTATTTTGACAGGCGTAGGAGTTTTTTAAAAACATTATTTTGATATGCTGGCATTCCTCCAGATATAGAGCTTTGACTTAAAAAATTATTTCACTGTGATAAGCTTAACCTTAGTTTTAAAAACAGAAACTAAATTAAAATTTAATATTTGGCGTTTAATTCAGAAATGATCATTTATTCTGAATTTTGTTGGCCATTTGAATTCAGTTCAAATCACTTTTCTGCCACTAAAATACAGAATGAAGTGCTGGTACATATTAAATGACCTCACAAATAGTTCTGTAAGCTAATAAAAAGCAATCAGAAAAGAAAATTAAGAAAATAATTCCACGTACAATAGCATAAATATAAACTTAAAAAAAATCTTCCACGGAAGTAAAAAAAATAACTTGTCCACTGAAAACAACAAAACATTGCTGAGCAAAATTAAACATATAAATAATAGAAAAACATTTTGTGCTCCTGATTTGGAAGACTTCTTATCAAGATGTCAATACTGTCTAAAGTGACCAAAATTCAATGCACAAAATCAACTAATATGAGGTCTTTTCCACCTGGCTTCTTTTACGAAAATAATGTTTTTCATTCTCATCCATTGCTTTTTGTATACACAAACTCTTCCTTCTTATTACTGTAGGAGTCCATGGCATTGACATTCTATTTTTTTTTATCCATTCACCTGTGTTAGACCTGTGGTTTGTTTTCAGGTTTTATCTACTTTAAGTAAAGTTTCTACAAATACCCTCAAAAAAATTCAATGCAATCCCTGATGTTTTTCACAGAAAAAGAAAGCCTATCCTAAAATTCACATAGAAATTTGTTATAATTATGGGCGAAATGTTAAAAAAAAGTTATGCCATAGCTCAGCTATGAACTATATTGTCTGAATAGAATGTGGTGAACATTAAATACTATATTATCTAAAATTTATGCATTACCAAATTGTGAACATCCTCATCCTCATTCAGGGTGTAAGGAATATCAAATTCCTGTCTTCTATAGTACAGTTTCAATAATGTGTAAAACTGAATCAAAAATAGCAGTGCATGCAAGTTAATTTCAATATCAGTAAGTAAATAGCACAGAAATAAGTAAAAGGCTGTAGGTAGTGCCTTTGCATTATAGAATTCAGGCACTGGAAGAGGTAGAGAAGAAAACTTGTTTTTCTAATATCTTTGTGGCTTACTACTTGATTATTGGAATTATATGTAAACCTGTGATTAATATTTTTTAAAAAACAAAGAAATGATCAACAGTGTCCAATTTTGTAATGATGTTGAATACTCTACAAAGCAGTGCATAAGAGAATGAGAAGATAAAAAAAATCAAAAGTCATAAATAAACTCCTTTGAAAAGTTTTTACTAAAACATATAAAAGTAGAAGTTGGATTTTCACTGAAGCATGTAAAACCAGATTTGAGTAAGGAATGAAATTGAGTTTCAGTTAGAAAGAGAATCAGAGTTGACGGAAAATTGATAACAGGATATTTTTAGCATTAAAGATATTTAAACAAGTTTTAATGACAGAGTAGTGGTAAGATTGAAAAAAAATTATAGAAATATGAAGGAGACTTAATACTGAAGGAAAAGTTTCCTAAAGAACATAGGATCAAGAGCATGCATAGCAATCTATAAGCTGAACTAGAAGGAAGAAGGTACAAACATAGCTAAACTGTCTCCTTCATCCTCTAGCAAGTTCTTCTGGATCTCTTCCCAGTTCTTCTGCCCTTCCTATTCCTTTCCCTCTCCTTTTACCTCTCTAAATTAGGAAACAGAATAATCTTCTGAAAATAACAGAAACATTGACTTAAGGGAAAGGGTAGAGTATATAATAGATGCAAAAGAAAATTTCAAGGAAATGGAACATAGTACTTAAAATCTATCTAAAATTTAAAAAAAAAACATTTTTTGTTGGTGCAAATCTAAACAGCTAATGACATTAGAAACTAGAGGGCTTCCATTTGGGAACTGTCAAGGGAAAGTAAGCAAGGCTATAGAGGATATTGATGAAAAGGTAAATCCTCTATTTCAACTTCACTCTGTGTAATTTAAAAAAAAATCTAACATTTTTTAAATGAGTGATTACAATCTTTAAAACATCCCTACACAAAATTTCACATAAAGGTGGGAACAGAAGAGGGTACATTAGTATCTATATGCTAGGTTAGAAAATAAGAAAAACTTTTAGGGAAAACTGCTGAAGTTTGTGAAGACCACACAATATAACTCCAATACATAACACTGAAAGATCACATACCCAAACATAAAACAAATTACAAATGAATGAATTTCTATGATAGATTTTTACTAAAACATGTAAACTTATATGTCCAAAGAACTACTTAAAGAAATTTTAATTAAAGGGAAAAGTACTTCACTTTTAATGTATTTGCATTTATTCCAGTCTTAATGATTTATATATGTATATATAAAATTATATATTATACCTTCTTGTTTCTTTTTAAACCCTACTTAAATTTAGTAATACAATTTTTATTTTTTTTAATAATTTTATTTTTTATTGGTTGTTCACAACATTACAAAGCTCTTGACATATCATATTTCATACATCAGATTGAAGTGGGTTATGAACAATTTTTAATAATACTCATCTAACCCAGGCCAGTCACTCTATATATCTGAGGAAGAAAGGGGGAAAGATACAGCAAGGACTTAGGATAAAATATGCAACAATTTTTCAAAACCAAATCAAATTATTTTCTTTTTTTATGTCTCAAAAAACAGAGGCAAATGAAAATCAAGTTCTTTTTCCATACCTTCTCCAGCAGAATAAAACGCTTTTGTTTCCAACTAAATTATTTCATCAGCTCTTCCCACCAACATTTTTAAGAATGTTTCAGTCTAGTAATACTATAGCCTAGTATTCTATCAACTCAGCTAAGCTGCCCTTTGTTTCTATAGGAAAGTACCGAACTGTGCAAGTTTCTTTTGACCTCAATAAAGAGATTGCTTTTAATTAAGTTGTGCCTAAACTACTACTAACAAGAGTCAAAACAGTGAGAGACCACACTATCTCAGCATCTGTAAATTTAATAACAACAAATTCTTGATTGAAATAGCCTCTCCTTTTTATTCCATCTAAGATGATAAATACTAATATTCTCTATATCAGAGGCACAGGGAAAAATTGCCTACAGGTCTGTTTAAAAACAGGTTACTGGGGCTTGGGTATCTAGCTCATGGGTAGAACATTTGCCTAGCATGTGCAAGGCCCCAAGCTCAATTCCCAGCACTGAATAGAAAAAAAAAAAAAAAAGTAATCAAAAGAAACTTCTCTTAAAAACAGAGTTAGAGAAAAGAGACCTAAGAGATATAAAACCTAGATTGTAATAAGTATAAAGTTCTAAACTGGATGCTTGTGTATATGTTTAAAAAAAAAAGATCTGGAAAGATATATACCAAGATGAAAACAGTAACAATCTCTAAAAGATTTTCCTTTTGCTTTATTTTCTAGTGTTTCACAATATACATTCAGTAGTATCCTTTTAGCCAAGACCCCCAGTAGATGCCTGAAACTATGTACAATACCAAACCCTATATATACTATGTTTTCCTATGTATAAATACCTATGATAAAGTTTAATTTATAAATTAGGCAAAGTAAGAGATTAATGACAATAATAGAATATAAGAATTATAATAAAATACTGTATAAAGTTACTTAAAATTTATGAATTGTTTATTTTTAGAATTTATTTTTCCATTTAATATTTTTGACCCTGGTTGACGAACTTGAAACCACAGATAAAGGGAATTTACTCTAAGTCTTGCTTGCTTGTCATTGTTTCTCCAATATTGTTTCTAATACTTTATTGTTTTTAATGTTTAGTTTTCTGTGGGAGGACTTCATAACCTCAAGGTAACCAGATATTTCTGATAAATTTCTCTTAAAAATGATAGAGGTACTACATGCACATGGTAAAAACTTAAGGAAAACAAAACAAAATACCCCTTATCCCAGATGCTTGGAAGCAGTGTTGGGGGATTGTTTTAGTATGCTTTTGCATTACTATGACCAAAACCTCACAAAAGCAACTTAGAAGAGGAAAAGTCATTAGGGATTCACCATTTTAGAAGTCTCAGTGGGCAGATGACCAACTTCATTGTTCAGGGACCAAGATGAGGCAGCATATCATGGAAGAAGGGCCCAATGAAGAAAGGCTGCTCAGCTCCTGGTAGGGTCAGGAAGCAGAGAGCAGGGTGAAGAGGAAGAGACAGCAGGAAGAACAACCTTTCCAGGGAACACCCTCATTGACCTACCTCCTTCAACCACACCCAATCTATAGTTATCCAATCTGTCTATTCAAACTAGGATGAACTGATTAGGTTATAGCCCTCACAATCTAATCACTTCACAATCCTGCATTAATACAGAAGCTTTTGGAAGACACACATATTCAAACAGGAATTCTTTTTTTCAGATTTTGGAATATTTGCATATACATAATGAGTTATCTTGGGGATATGACCCAAATCTAAACACAAAACTCATTTATATTTCATATGAATTTTATATACATAGTCTGAAGTTAATTTTATGCAATATTCTTTGTGCACTTGTGTTTTGACTGCAACTTATCCCAGGAGACAGATGTGGAATTTTTCACTTGTGACATTATGTTGGTACCCAAAAAGTTTTGAATTTTGGAGCATTCTGGATTTGGAAATTTTGGATTAGAAGTAATTAATGTGTAGTAGGAAACCATCTACCAGAATTACCAATAGAGCTATAAGTTGTATTTGCTAAGTTATTGCTGGAAAAAAAAA